AAAATGAAAATAAATGTCGCTATAGTGTGAAAGTGCTATCATTCATGTAGGAAAGTGCACTACGCAGACACTTAGCTTTATTTTAGCACCACTATTATTACCACAAGCCGATTGATAACGCTTGCAATAGATCAAAGTGTGCAAATATTGTTCAGATATTTTTGGGCTTTTGACGAGGATCGAACCTGGGACTCCTGCGTGGGAACCCAGTACCAATACCGCTAGGCCAGCGAGTCTGTTTGGTAACATGTGAAATTGTTGATCTGTTTCTTCCATAGAAACTACAGTAAAAAACAACATAGAAATTCAACGACTAGTATTTTGCAATAAGTTGGTCTCTGTGAAGAATCCTCTGGAATCGTGTTTGTATTAACCTACTTATCTTCTTTGAGTAGGACACCGAGTCGTCCAACAACCCGATGAACCCTGGTGTCAAGAGTTTTTCAACAACCTACTACAAGTATCAGGCCTCTGACATCGTTGTCACGACCGCCGTCTGAGTAATCATAGACAACAACCTATTCTGCAAGCAGTATGTAAGGGACGTAGTTTTCAAGTAATGCGTATTTTTTCTTACCAGAGAAGCAGTCAATCCTTGAAGCAATGGAGCACTTGTTGGCGAGGTACCGACTGATGCGACCCTTATTCTTCAGTCCAGCGCGTCCGATGAACGTCGAGTGGTAGAGCAGACCGTATTTGGGCGTATTGGAGCGTGTTTTCAGCGCTCGGAATAGAGCTTTCTCGGCGCCTGTAAAATAGAAAATCCTACTAATATTATAAAGGCGGATGTTTGTGTGTGTGTTTGTTACGACATCACGCAAAACGGCTGATTAGATTGACATGAAACTTTGCAGAAATATAAAAGGGCATCTGGAATAACACATAGGATACTTTTTACCACGGAAAAATGTCTCATTCCCACGGGATCACGCATTTTCCAATATTTTTGAAATAGGTGGCGTGACTGAGCCGATTCGCGTTTTAAACGTTTTCACCGAAAACTAACAGCGACATCTCTTGGCGAATAATGCTTTTTTCCCGCGGAATAATAGGTTGCAGCGGGTGAAACCGCTGACGGGCAGCTAGTAACCAATAAGAATACAACGAATTTTTCTAGCGTGCTGATTTTTGAATCGACAAAATATAACAACTGAAAACATTGATCACTATTTAATCCGCTTGATATCTTATCGTAGTTACATAGAATACTTTGTGAGATTTTGACAGTGACTGATACTGAAACCTGAGGACGGGAGATAAGAAACAACTTTCCTGAAGGAACATAGGACCACATAAGAAAAAATTCATAGTAACTCAAATGGGCTGATCGGCAATATTTATTTATATTTATCAATAAAGGATTGAATTGAATTGAATATCCTGCATTTTCGCTATCGGTCACTAGTAAAATTTGATCCTAATAAACTAGAATAGTCGGCGTGGGATCAAACAGGTACGATTGAAGTTGGTAAAAAAATGGAAACAAAGAATCGATTGAAACATATGGAAGAAAAATATCAGTTAATCAATTGAAATAAATGGAAGAAAAATATCAGTTAGTAATCTAATATGATAGAAAAATGTCGCTATAGTGTGAAAGTGCTATCATTCATGTAGGAAAGTGCACTACGCAGACACATAGCTTTATTTTAGCACTACTGTTAAATACTGCAAGCCGATTGATAACGCTTGCAATAGATCGAAAGTGTGCAAATGAAATATGTCATTACAAAAGAAAGCAAGTAAAAAATTAAAGAACGAAAAGCTAAATTGGTCACATAAAGTATGTTGAGAATCACTTTCACGTTGGATTTTGTATTGTAATGTTGTTAGCTACCTTTTGTTAAATTGGAGGGGTGACTTTTATTATATGTACAGGTAGTAACAGAAAGGGTATAACAAGCCGAAAGAAGGTCAAGGTACTCATGAAACTGAACAACTTTCCCCATGGAACATGGGCCGAAAAGTGAAAGAAAATATGATTTTTTCATGAGTGCCTTGATCTCCTTTCGAATTGTTATACCCTTTCTGTGTGGGGGGGTCACATTTGTTATGTTGTACATTTTCACGATGTTGCGAGTCACTTTTGTCACGTCGGAAGTCACATTATTATTGTAGGTAATATTTGTATGTATGTAATAATCACTTTATTGTATCAAACAAAATTTGTCATGTTGGTTGACTGGACACTTAACAATAATCTTCAGATTAGTCGTAGGGTACATAGCTAGTAACTTTTGTCATTTGTAGAAGTCACTTAAGTCATGTAGGAGTCACTTTGGTCATATGCGGGAGTCACTTAAGTTAGTCATGTAAGACTCACTTTCGTCATTTGGGGGTAAATTTTAAATGTTGGAGGAAACTTAGTAATTTGGGGATCAGTTTTATTATCTTGGAGGGCAATTTTATTATGTTGGGGGTTAGTTTTATTTTGTTGGGAGTTAGTTTTATTATGTTGGGGGTCAGTTTTATTATGTTGGTCACTTTGTCACGTCGGGACTCCCAATATTATTATTGTGTTGTGCCACTTTAGTAATTTTGGTGCGACTTTATTATTTTGGGGGTTAGTTTTATGATGTTGGGGGTCATAATAAAACTAATTTATTAGGGGGGGGGGTCAGTCTGTCAAGTCGGGACTCGAATTTTTATTATTTTGTTAAGCTTATCTCTTACCAAGTATCTGCAGAGTAGACGCGGGGTATTTGGCCAAGCTTGTCAATGAACCAGCTTTGGAGATGAGCCTGGCTCCCACTTGGTCGCCAATCAGGACAGTCAGGTTGGGCGCCACACTGTTCATCTTTGTGTGCAGGTATTCTGCTATCTGCTTTCTGTTGGGAAACAAGTAAATCACAAATTAAAGCTTACAGCTTGGACACAGGCGATATTTTCTCTTTTAGGACCAAAATGTTGAATCCTTTTTGTATCACTTTAGTACAAACTTGAAAAAATCACATAAAGAATTATTATTAAGCAACTTATCCATCAAATAGAGTTTTTAAGTAAAGTTTACCATTACACCTTATTTTTCATTAAAAATATTACTGATCAAATCACATTTCTCTTTGGAAAACTAGCAATATTTGCCATCGCAGGCACGATTTGAACTTGCGACTTTGGCCATCTGTACTGGCGACGCCTCTACCAACTGAGCTACCGCGGCTGAGCCTAAACCTGCGTGATTGAGCAAGTATATCTTGACCACTAATATGTGGCAGGGCTTTATCTACCAAAATAGTTTTGAAATGATCATAACAGCCACAATAAAGTCCATTGCTGAACATGGGCCTTCCCCAAGTAGGGGACATTTGCCATACTCACCACGCTTGGCAGGCGGGTTGGTGAGCGCAGTGCAAGATGTTGCAATGCGATTGCGAAATTCATCCAGGATGAAATTATCCCTTAGTCGCCTCTTACGACACCCACGGGAAAGATATGGGGTGATGATATTTTAAGCCGACATCACACGTGCTATAAAATACAGACCTGTAATTGCTCAATGCGACGACCCTGCCGGCAAACATCTGAATGTTGATGAGGTCTACTGGCGATATGTCCATTCCCATCGACATCTTGGATGCGTCGATAATGGCCTGGAACAAAATTTTATAATAACATCCAATATTCACTCAAAGTCAGGAGGTCAGGACAGTTTATTTTGGTGAGTAGTGCAATTTTTGAAAAACTTGCAAAATTTTCCACCACAGGCAGGATTTAAACCTGCGACCTTCGGCATCTGTACTGCCGACGCCACTACCAACTGGGCTACCGCGCTTCTAATCAAGCCTGCGAATTTAGCAAGTTTATCTTGTCCACTAACATGTGGCGCAGTGGTTAGTATGTCTGCCTGCCACGCAAAGGTTCCGGGTTCAATTCCCGGTGGGGTCACTCACAAAGTTGATATTTATCTTATCACTTTGTGAATTTGTTCCCAGTCTGGTTAGGACATTGCAGGCTGAACCACCTGATTGTCCGCAAGTAAAATGGTTCCGTGCTTCGGATGGGCACGTTAAGCCGTCGGTCCCGGTTGCTGTCTATGATGTCGGTCGTTACACAACCATGTCAGAGGCCTGCTACTTGTAGTAGGCGGTTGAAAAACTCTGACACCAGGGTTCATCGGGTCGTTGCACGACTCGGTGTCCCACACGAAAAGAAGAAGAAGACTAACATGTGGATGGGCTCCGTCTACCGGGATAGTTTTGCAACTAATTCCAAGCGACTAATTCATTCTTTGCAGATTGAATGTAGTCAAAGCGACGAAAACCCGCGATAAATTGAATACCAAATTTTAAAACACTTCTCGTGGTATACAATTTTTGGAAAACTTGCAAAATTGTCCACCGCACGCAGGCAGAATTTGAACCTGCGACCTTCGGCATCTGTACTGCCGACGCCACGACGATAATGAGTAGTGGTTGTGCAAACATAAGGAAGTATTAGGAGAAAAGGGACGATTGGAAATCAATCCATCAACTAAAGCAGAGATTCGGCAGTATAATTCTTAAATAAGATAAAAGTTTGTATGATAATATGCTGGTTATGCAGCTACAGTAAAGGCAGTATGTCTAGAAATCTTTTTTTGTTTCTTGAATTTAGGATTTATTTTCTAGAACACATTCACAGCTAGTATAGATTTTCTTATATCTTTACCTGTGCTTTCTCAGAGTCCCCCAGGATTTCCGTCAAAGGTTCGACCGACTCCTCAGTCAGGGACTTCCGGTCCTTGATGTACTCCGCGCACTTGGTGTAGAGGTGGTTCTCGGGGACAATAGACACCAGCTCCAGATAGTGGTAAGAATACCAGTGGATGACTATGTTACTTGACAATATGCATGCAAAGTTTCAGATATCAAGCCTCCAGAGTTTGACTTATGTCTATGACCAGTCAGTTTTGTCTTTTATATATTAAGATTACATTTAGCTTGGTATAATAGTTACCAAATTTATTACAGCTGGGTGATACGAGTATCAAGAGATTGAAAATTTGGCAAGCATCGATCGGTGCATGGATAGCTCAGTGGCAGAGCGGTGGGGCATTGACCCATATGCTCCGGATTGAACCCCGGTCAATGCATGTAATTTTTTCAATTTCACATTTTCATTCGACATTTCTTTACCTGTGCTTTTTCAGAGTCCCCCAGGATTTCCGTCAAAGGTTCGACCGACTCCTCAGTGAGTGATTTCCGGTCCTTGATGTACTCCGCACACTTGGTGTAGAGGTGGTTCTCCGGGACAATGGACACCAGCTCCGGGAAGTGGTACGAGTACCATTCTCTGGAAGGAAGAGGAAATGGTGTGATAATTTTGATAAGTATAAGTTTTGGGACTGGAATGGTGGACTGGCAACATGTCCAACTGACACACACACAGACACATCACATACAAAAACACATACACAAACACACACACACACACACACACACACACACACACACACACACACATGACACCTTTACTGTCCCTTCCTATCCCTTATTTGCTTCCAATGCTATGTAGTTGGAAATATTAAAACTACTTAGCTAAATCTAGTTAGTCTCAGTTTGAAACCCACCTGATCTGACACTTAGAGTAACCATAGGCAAGGTATACAGTGCTAAAGCTCTGGGGCAGTAAAAATTAAGCAAAATATAAATAATTACGCCACATGTAGAAGAAATATACATTTGTAAGTGTTGTCACTATAGTTGTGTGTTCGTACGTGAGATAAAAGATGACATTTGTCAGACAAGTGATCGTCAGCCGTCATCGATGCGACGCGCGTCTCACTATTATAGATAGCATCTCTTCCGTTTCGAAACAGTTTCAAGCGTCACGACGACGCACGCCTTACGTCTACGTCATCGCATGTCATACGTCTCACCTTTGAAGTTCCTATTTCTCTTTGTTGACATGTCTTCTGGCTGTCAAATATGGGTTATTCGCAAGAAGCTTATAGGTAAACCTGGAGGGTGCACTCGGAAACAAGAAGTGCAGTCAAGAAATTTGACCTCTAAACCTCTAAACCTGTAGTCTAGGTTCCACCATCTCTTTCTAAAAGTGATGGTGGGAAAAAGTTCGGAAACACTCGGGGTAACTCGTGGTAGGTATCTCGGTAGCTTAGAAAGAGACAACGAATGCTCGGCCCTTGCTCTTCTTGCAAATCGGTCAAATATTCTTACTTCACTTGTCAATCTCGAGTCCTCCCTCCAGTTTTACCTACAACCTTCTTGGTTATTCGACAGTGATACTGTAAACACAGTCTGTTTTTTATGGTACATTACCTGATCCGCATATAAAATTTGTTGACATCCTTGTCCAGCTGATCCAGCAGTGCTATACTCTGTATGATCATGTTGTCCACCCGGTGCACGTTGAACTTGACTCGCGCTCGGGAGTACGAGTGCCCGAGACCCAGCTGGGCCACGCTGCAAGCTTTCAGGGTCAGACCCTTGATAATGGTGTGATATGTCATTGAAACCCACCTGATCCGCATAGAAAACGTGTTGACATCCTTATCAAGCTGATCCAGCAGTGCTATACTCTGTATGATCATGTTGTCCACCCGGTGCGCGTTGAACTTGACTCGCGCTCGGGAGTACGAGTGCCCGAGACCCAGCTGGGCCACGCTGCAAGCTTTCAGGGTCAGACCCTTGATAATGGTGTGATATGTCATTGAAACCCACCTGATCCGCATAGAAAACGTGTTGACATCCTTATCAAGCTGATCCAGCAGTGCTATACTCTGTATGATCATGTTGTCCACCCGGTGCGCGTTGAACTTGACTCGCGCTCGGGAGTACGAGTGCCCGAGACCCAGCTGGGCCACGCTGCAAGCTTTCAGGGTCAGACCCTTGATAATGGTGTGATATGTCATTGAAACCCACCTGATCCGCATAGAGAACGTGTTGACATCCTTATCAAGCTGGTCCAGCAGTGCTATACTCTGTATGATCATGTTGTCCACCCGGTGCACGTTGAACTTGACCCGCGCTCGGGAGTACGAGTGATCGAGACACTTAGAGTAACAGTAGGCAATAGTTCTATAAATACTTACATCAAATGTAGAAGAAATGTAGCTTTGTGTTGTCACTGTCATTTTGCTTTTGATATACAGAGAGGTTGTGTTTGTACTCGTGACAACTGATCAAACCTAGTAAGGCATACTCTATACTACCTGATGCCTAGAAGAAGGGGACCCAAAATCGCAACATATTGTTCACATCTTGCTTTAATGTCATGTAATACGAAAAATACGCAAACAATAATGTTGAAAATTCCGATCCCTTTCTTTTATGAATCAGGTTATAGCTTGCTTAAATACACTCTAAGGTTGGACCTTTGAAGACATTGTAATATGTCATTGAAACATACCTGATCCTCATAGAAAACGTGTTAACATCCTTGTCAAGCTGATCCAGCAGTGCTATACTCTGTATGATCATGTTGTCCACCCGGTGCACGTTGAACTTGACTCGCGCTCGGGAGTACGAGTGCCCGAGACCCAGCTGGGCCACGCTGCAAGCTTTCAGGGTCAGACCCTTGATAATGGTGTGATATGTCATTGAAACCCACCTGATCCGCATAGAAAACGTGTTGACATCCTTATCAAGCTGATCCAGCAGTGCTATACTCTGTATGATCATGTTGTCCACCCGGTGCGCGTTGAACTTGACTCGCGCTCGGGAGTACGAGTGCCCGAGACCCAGCTGGGCCACGCTGCAAGCTTTCAGGGTCAGACCCTTGATAATGGTGTGATATGTCATTGAAACCCACCTGATCCGCATAGAGAACGTGTTGACATCCTTATCAAGCTGGTCCAGCAGTGCTATACTCTGTATGATCATGTTGTCCACCTGGTGCACATTGAACTTGACTCGCGCTCGGGAGTACGAGTGATCGAGACACTTAGAGTAACAGTAGGCAATAGTTCTATAAATACTTACATCAAATGTAGAAGAAATGTAGCTTTGTGTTGTCACTGTCATTTTGCTTTTGATATACAGAGAGGTTGTGTTTGTACTCGTGACAACTGATCAAACCTAGTAAGGCATACTCTATACTACCTGATGCCTAGAAGAAGGGGACCCAAAATCGCAACATATTGTTCACATCTTGCTTTAATGTCATGTAATACGAAAAATACGCAAACAATAATGTTGAAAATTCCGATCCCTTTCTTTTATGAATCAGGTTATAGCTTGCTTAAATACACTCTAAGGTTGGACCTTTGAAGACATTGTAATATGTCATTGAAACATACCTGATCCTCATAGAAAACGTGTTAACATCCTTGTCAAGCTGATCCAGCAGTGCTATACTCTGTATGATCATGTTGTCCACCCGGTGCGCGTTGAACTTGACTCGCGCTTGGGAGTACGAGTGCCCGAGACCCAGCTGGGCCACGCTGCAAGCTTTCAGGGTCAGACCCTTGATAATGGTGTGATATGTCATTGAAACCCACCTGATCCGCATAGAAAACGTGTTGACATCCTTATCAAGCTGATCCAGCAGTGCTATACTCTGTATGATCATGTTGTCCACCCGGTGCGCGTTGAACTTGACTCGCGCTCGGGAGTACGAGTGCCCGAGACCCAGCTGGGCCACGCTGCAAGCTTTCAGGGTCAGACCCTTGATAATGGTGTGATATGTCATTGAAACCCACCTGATCCGCATAGAAAACGTGTTGACATCCTTGTCCAGCTGATCCAGCAGTGCTATACTCTGTATGATCATGTTGTCCACCCGGTGCGCGTTGAACTTGACTCGCGCTCGGGAGTACGAGTGCCCGAGACCCAGCTGGGCCACGCTGCAAGCTTTCAGGGTCAGACCCTTGATAATGGTGTGATATGTCATTGAAACCCACCTGATCCGCATAGAAAACGTGTTGACATCCTTATCAAGCTGATCCAGCAGTGCTATACTCTGTATGATCATGTTGTCCACCCGGTGCGCGTTGAACTTGACTCGCGCTCGGGAGTACGAGTGACCGAGACACTTAGAGTAACCATAGGCAATAGTTCTATAGATACTTACGTCAAATGTAGAAGAAATGTAGATTTGTATAGTGTTGTCACTGTCATTTTGCTATTGATATACAGAGAGGTTGTGTTTGTACCCGTGACAACTGATCAAACCTAGTAAGGCATACTCTATACTACTTGATACCTAGAAGAAGGGCACCTAAAATCGCAACATATTGTTCACATCTTGCTTAAATGTCATGTAATACGAAAAATACGTAAACAATAATGTTGAAAATTCCAGTCCCTTTCTTTTATGAATCAGGTTATAGCTTGTTTAAATACACCCTTGCAGACATTGTGATATGTAATTGAAACCCACCTGATCCGCATGCTGAATGTGTTGACATCCTTATCAAGCTGATCCAGCAGTGCTATACTCTGTATGATCATGTTGTCCACCCGGTGCGCGTTGAACTTGACTCGCGCTCGGGAGTATGAATGCCCGAGACACTTAGAGTAACAGTAGGCAATAGTTCTATAAATACTTACGTCAAATGTAGAAGAAATGTAGATTTGTAGTGTTGTCACTGTCATGTTGCTATTGATATACAGAGAGGTTGTGTTTGTACCCGTGACAACTGATCAAACCTAGTAAGGCATACTCTATACTACCTGATTCCTAGAAGGGGACCCAAAATCGCAACATATTGTTCACATCTTGCTTAAATGTCATGTAATATAAAAAATACGCAAACAATAATGTTGAAAATTCCGGTCTCTTTCTTTTATGAATCAGGTTATAGCTTGTTTAAATACACTCTAAGGTTGTACCCTTAAAGACATTGTGATATGTCACCAAAACCCACCTGATCCGCATAGAAAACGCAGGGGCCGAAACAAGTTCCATGGTCGAAAATACTGATTTTACTGACCAAAAATTCAAAAATACTGACCAAATACTGACCATTTTCAAAACGTTTTTCAGGTTAATTGTGTGAAATAAGTAGTACTTTGTTGTCGAGGCCGGGAAAACAAGGCTTTGCTGGACGAATTACACGAGTCAAGCAAACTTATTTTCCCCGAGGAGGCTTACATACCTAGTGCTTTTCCCAAAAATGCAAGGAAATAAAAA